GTACTTTACCATCGTGCGTGCGTTCGTGTGTTTCAGCGCGCGTAACGTATCTGATCGCTCGCATTGCCACCCACATGCGATCTCCCACGTCGGCGAAGGAAACAAGCAGAAAGGGTGGGAAGGGGATGGGTTGGTGATGGGGGGCAGCAGAATGACGATAGAGGGAAGGGCTGGGCGAAAAGCAGAGCAGAAACGGACATGGAATGGACAGGGGGGGAGGGGGGAGAGAGAGAGAGAGAGGGGGGCAGATAAGGAGGCAGAGACTTTGAAAAGGAGGGAGGGCGCGGGGTGAAGCGAAGAAAGGGCGGGCGAAGGTCTGGGTCACCACAGTTCCCCCATGCCCCCACCGCCTGCGCCTGGCCCCCGAAGGAACCGCGAAGGAAAAAAAAACAATCGGGCCAGGGGCGCATATTTCACCAAAGGCACATCGGAACCGCAAAAAAAACAACTAACCATGTTGGGGGGGGGGCTTTGGCGCCCGCTCCCACGAAGAAGACGCACGGGACGGAGGGGGGCCTGGCCATGGCGGCGGAGGAAAAGGAAGAAGGGGAGACGGATAGGAGGCCCATGGGGGAACTGAGGGTTGCACTTTTGCACCAAGCAGCGCCTTGAGCGCGAGCCCCGCGCCCTCCACGCCGCTCTGGTGGAGGTCGCCGACGTCCTCCACCGCGCGGAGCACCTGGAACTCGGGCTCGTATGGCGAGAAGGACATGCACGTGATGTGGGCCCAGACCTCGCTTGTGCCCCACAGCATGATGTCCTCTGCCGACGCAGAGATCGGCACCGTCTCGAATCTGAGGATGGTGCGGCCACTGGCCAAATCTAATTTGGCAGGGGACTTGGAAGGGTAGTGGACCTTCAGGAGCTGCAGCAATCGATTGCGGATTTTCCAAGCAAGACGGCCCTGTTCCGAGCAGGTACAACACCCATATTTGAAGCACGTGGTCGGGGTCAAGTTAAAACCCTGCTCTGCTGTGCTGGAATCAGCACCACAACCACGCAAAATCCTGTGTTGCTGATCCCACAAGTGGTCCACAACCTTGAGCACATTCTGGCCGTTTCTGCCAGACTCAGCCGCCCACTGGTGAGCCTGCATTGCCGCCGTCGCAGGCGCGCCTGGACGCACCTGAAGCACGGGGCAACCACTGACGCACTGCACTGCCACTAAGTTGTCCGACACAGAGGCTAACGATGGCAAGGACGTGCATGCGCTGGCCACATGGGATGGTTCTCGCCCGTATGACCTGATGACATCTACCTGGCGCGCCGCCTCCTGCTGTTGCTGCTGGCGGTCCATGCGGTCCATGAAGCGCGACAAACTCTTGAGCTCGCTCGGGGTCTGGCCGCTGATGTGGGCATCCCTCAGCAAGCGGTCGGCTTGCTCATCGCCGTCAAGGGCGCGCAAGCGCTCGAGGCGGCCAGAAATGTTTCGCCCCGCCGTCATCCTGGCAACATCCCTGTGCTTCGGTCCGAAGGCCGTCTGCCGCGACGGCACGCCACCCTGCGCTCTCAGGGTGGCAGCTGCCCCGTCGGCCCGAAGTTCATCGAGCTCCGCCTCGCCCAGCTGGCGGTACAAGACAGCTGCAGCCTTGAAGTCGTTCATCTTGACCTTATGCAAGAATGCTCTCCACGCACCGCCAGCTCTCGACCTCACGGCGTTGTCAGAAACAGGGTCATCGTGCTGGCCGCCCGCGCCTTGGTGCACCTCGTTGTTGCACCCGCTAGTCTCAGCAGCCACGGCATTCGATATTTCCTGTGCCACCCAACCTGTTGACAAAGTTCTGATGTCAATCTTGTGCGTCTGGACGCGGTTGTACACGAGGCGTCGGTAATGACTGTGCCCCACCTCGACGCGCGAGATGTCACTGTACAACATCAGGGCGTGAAGGGTGAGCTTGTCGCGGGCCGTCTCGGTGGACACGTCATTGTCTCGGACGAAAGCAGCACTCCACTGGTCCATGACGCATAGAGGTGTAGATTTGATCTCATCGCTCAAGCCTGGGTTCTCGATGACCAAGAACAATCTCCACGGGTACCCGCTATGAGGACGATGCAGATGCCGATCAAGCCCGCCCAATGCTTTACTGACCATCCGGAAAGCCACCGACCTGACGTAATTAGTGACCTGGTCCCTGCACAACAATGACCACAACGCAGCGTTGTTCAGCAATGCCTGCAACTTCACAGTCGCAAGCTGTTCCTGCTCCTGGCGGGCGGCCACGAGAATGCGGAAGTCCCTCCCGAGGCCGCCAGCGGCCGCATCACCTTGAGGCTACCACGATGCATGATTAACGATCGGCACTCCGCCGCGCAGCAAGAAAAACAAAAGGATGGATAGGACGGGGGGGCCGAGGGGGACTGGGGGGCGGGGGGGGGGGGGGGAGGAGGACTGAGGAAGACTGAGGACAGAGGCAAGGAGGATTGAGGAGCACTGGGGACTGAGGGGGGGCTGAGGAGGACTGAAGGGGACTGAGGAGAGGGGCAAGGAAGACCGAGGAGGACAGGAGATGAGGAGAAGGAGGACTGGGGCCCAGGGGCCCCAAGAAAACTGCCCTCGAACCGAAAACGCAGGATGTGAAACGAAACGGCCCCCAGGCGCTTTCAGTTCAGTTTCATGTTTCGGGGCGCTGGCCGACGATTTTTTTTGGGGGAGGGGGTGGGGGGGAGAGGAGGACGACAATTGGTTGGTGGGCGTGTGGGTTTGCAATGGCAAGCGCGCACCTGCCGCAACGCGGCGAGCATGCGCGATGCTGGCCGCGCGCTGCTTGCGCTCCCAGGCGGCCGAGCTCGTCTGGAGCTGGCTGCGCAAGAGGGCCTGGAGCGGGCCCATCGTGTTCCGCAGCAGCACCAAGGACGTCAAGGCGCTCATGCTCTTATCGCCCAACCATTCGAGCGCCTTGGCACGATTCTTGGCCTGCTCCCTGCGCCTCTGGGCGGCGTCGTCATCATGGGACGCCGACGGGCGCGCAGCATGAGGAGCAGCAAGGGCAGCATCCAGGTCTGGCCCTGCATCATCACCAAGAGGATCACCATCAGCATGATCGCCTGGTGCACACTTAGCATCTTTAGCCAGCTGCCTCGAAGCCCAGAGCCTGTACGAGTCCTCAAGAATGCCTCCGCAGCTGGCGACCAGAGCCTGCTCGCACACGGCCTCTTCGCAACCAGTCCACTTGTCGCGTCGCCACACCGAGAAACGCTTCTGACACAGTGCAGTAGCCAATGCTGAAGCAATGTGTGATCTGTTGGACTGGTCCAGTGCAGCTTCGGCAGAACTCACATAACAAACCAACGAATCGTCTCTCCAATCAGCAGATGGAAGAAGGTACAACACTAAACGCCTGAACGCAACGTTACCCTTCCCAGGCAAGAATGACCTCGAAGCCAAACGTGTGCACATCTCTGCGGCGTCTGGCGGATCCCCCACTTTCAAAACCATGGCGTTGAGTGCAACCTCTTCCACGCACTGGCGGAACTCGTCCATGGCGCCAGCGGACCGCAACGACAGTGCCAAATCCAACCAGCCCGCCAGGGCGCAGGCGTTAAAAGAGGTTCATCTTCCAACCCCCTTCTCCCCTTTCGGTGAGCGGCTCACCCGCCCGCGCCACCCGCCCCCCGCCCCCCTCCTGGATCTGGGAAGGGCGGAGGGGGGGGGAGCGAGCGGCCAGAGCACCCAGGGGGGCCACAGACGGCTCCAAGGGAGCCTCGGAGATGCCAAGATGACCACCAAGATGGCTCAGGATAACGCAAGGCGCCTCAAGCTGGTTCCGACGATGCCCCAAAATTGCCCAAGGCCCTTCCAAGAAGGCCCCAAAGGACAGAGAGCTGCCCAAGGGGGCCCCGAAGAGGCGAACATCCTCCAAAGACCAAGGAAAAACGATTGCGCTTGCCTTCTCGCATTTTCGTTTCCGACGGCCATCCGGGGCCCCAAGATTGCTCCAAGAGGGCCCAAGAGGGGCCCAAGAGAGCCTCGAGACGACACCCAGGGCGCTCAAGAGCGCTCCAAGAGCGCCCCATGAAACTACAGGAAGCGAGCGTTGGAGCTCCTGGGGAGGGGGGCTGCTCAAGGACACCCCCTTCGTTGATCGACGTCCTCCAAGACGGCCCCACGGCCCGATATGCATCTTGGAACGCACTCTCTGCGCCGCCCGCCAGCCGACGGGGCATCGCCCGCCCGCGCACAGGGCCCCAGGGCCGACCACAAGGCCCCGCGAGACCTCCAAGGCGCCACCAGGAGAAAGAGGAGGATGAGAAGAAAAAGGAGGAGAAGGAGGAGAAAGAGGAGGAGGAGGAGGATGAGAAGGAGGAAGAGCAGGATAATGAGCAGGAGGAACAGCATGGGTTGGTGGGAATACGCGAAGCGCCAACGATTGATACAACCAGAAACAGCAAACTCAATTGGGGAGAATGCCATTTTGTGCATCGATGCTGTCATGTGCACATCACAAAAAGATGGCAACACAGACCAATTCCCAGAACGAGATGCCAACAACTGCCGCTCTGCGGCCATATTCGAAGCGCGCCTGTCAATATTGACAAGTCGGGTTGCAGATGTTGCTCTGCATTCGCCCAGTGTAGCACAATCTGAGTCAGCCAAGGCCTCTGCGATACATACTGCCGATGTCGTCCGAAGAACCTGCAACACATTGTGGCACTGACCAATGATAAACACTTTCCGCACACGATCATCATTCTCGGCAGTTGCGTACACACCCCACTCCGACAGCGTTTGGAACAATTTGCACACATCACTGCTGTTGAGTTTCGAAAGGTCCCGCGCCGCCAACACAGGAGCCAACTCCGACGGCGACAACGTGCAACTGTCAGGGTCAATTCGCTTAGAGGGGTTGGCAAGCACCCTGAGGCCCAACGGAGTTTCATCATACGCCACGGCATCGACGACCTGGTGAACAGTGATGGTGGCGCCAGCTGCGGGGCGACCAACTGCGCTCATGATCGATCTCCTGATGAGGCGGGGCACGCACCACGCAAGGGAAGCCAACCTGGATGTAGTTCTGTCGCACGTCCTCCTGCTCATGTTGAAGGCACTAGCTTTCTTGTCCAGCGGCGTCTTATCAGTAGAAACATTCTCGAGCAAGAAACGTCGCCCGAGCTCAGACGGAGATGCTCTGACTGCCATGGCGTTCGCCACGGCCTGCCCAACGATATCAACGATCGGATGCAGCGCGTTGGGCGACCTGGCCGCAAGCTGGCCCGACAACAATTGAGCGTCCACTGCAACAGGGCCAACTTGCGGGCGCAATTGTTCCCCGATGGCATGCTGCTCGCGGCGCCGCCGCTTGGACTCTCGGGCAGCGTCCTGCATCGCTTTCAACTGGTCACCACTTTTACCGCGAGGCATGGTGGCGAACGGCCCGCAGGCAAAGACAGCTCCAAACACGCGGGCTTGAAACAAATGGCTACCGAAGTGACGGCGTGACCGTTGATGACAACATGGCCCCGTGATACGTCGCAGCTGCGACTGAAACATTCAACCAATAACGATCCCAAACTCAGAACATCGCTGCCTACCTACACTGCCGCTTCCTCGCGCGGCAATGCAAACATAGCCTGGCGACGGGCGCGACCCAACATCAAGACGATCCAACTGCGGACGGACACGGCAACCACGTGTAAACACGACGGCGTTGGCTCTGGCCATTCTTGGGCCGTCTGTGGACCCCGTTGCGGCGCCTACCCCCACGCGAGGGGCGCGCCGACGCGGGCTCGAAAAAAGGCAGGTGACATGCGAGCATTGCTACCGACGTTGTCAGTTGACCTCCCTGTGGGGCCGCCAACACTGTGAGGGGCGCGCCGACGCGCGATGGGGCACGCCGCGAGAAGTTCGCCACGAGGTCTCGGGGGAGCTCCCTGCAGGGCAACAGTGCGTGTGAGGCAGGTGTCGACATGCGCAGCGGGGTGCCTTTCGAACGTTGCCACAAACGCAGTCGGTGCAACCCCTGCGCAGCTACTGCCCTTCCGAGGAAGCGCCAAGGAGGCGCGCGGGGTGGAGGGGGGTAGAGGGCCGATTTCGTTCTTCGCGAAGGCAATGGGGCTCACTGTGGGGCCACGATCCTCGTGAGGTGCGCAGCGGAGCAATCAGGGGACATCCTCGTCCCACTCTGGCGTTGCCTTGTCCTGCTCCTCCTCCCCCCCCCTCTTCCTGCGCCTGGCCCCCGTTGCCGTCGGAGCTCTCTTCCTCTGGTTTGTTCCGCCTCCTGGCGGTCCTCTTCCCCCCCCCTGCCGCGGCCTCCCACGAGGCCCATGAGGGCCCCAGAGTCCGCCCCCAAGGGGCACCCCACGAGGCCCCTAACGGCACAGCGAACCACCAGCGGACCCCATCAGAAGCCCCCGCGAGGCCCCCAAGAGCCCCCCAACAGGCCTCAAGAGACCTCAGAGGCCTCCAAAAGGCGCCCCACAGGCGCCAAGGCGGGCAGGGAACAACAGGAGAATGCGCGATGAACTTATCCAACGCACCCTTGATTGTCCCTGCCTTCCTCTGCCGCAACAAGCGCCCCACTCGCGCGGAAGGGGAGCGTTGCTGCCGCGGCGGAGGATGGATCCAACGAGTACCCTGGACAGTTTCGTCGCATTCGCCCGCTGCTTTACCGCGGGCGGCGCCAGAGAGCCGCGGGGGGGGGGGGAGGGGGGGGGGCAAAAGACAGCTGGAGAAACACAAACAATGTATTTCGACAAAGAGGGCACCATATCCTCAATCGTTCCCTCGCAAACCACGGGCGCGCAAGGGCAAGCGGTTTCTTCAGCGGGGGCCGCTGGGATTTGGTGCGCGGGCGGCCCCCAGGCTCAAGCAAGCCTGCGTTGGATGTTCCTCCCCCCTCCCTTGCCATCCACCCCCCCCGCCCTCTCTCCTCTTCCTCTTCTCCCCTTCTCTGCCTTCTTCCCCCCCTCGTTCCCCCTGCGCCGCCTGGCGCTGATGTTCGTCTTCCGCCCCCCCTCCTCTGATTCAGATTGCTCCCTGTCGAAAGTCAGGTCGAGTTTTTTGAAGTGGTCGGAAGGCGCAATCTTGTTTATAGGGTATCGGTGAGCCCCTTGCGTGCACCAACAGTCGTGAGGGGTGTGCCGATATTGGCTTGCGGGCACGGCGGGAACTTACCCAGTGCTGCGTTCGGTCGACGTCGCTATGGGACGCGGCGCCGTGGGCTGGGCCTCGAAGGATTGAAAGGAAAATGGGGAGAGGGGAGAGAGGATGCGAAAGGGGAGAAAAAGGGGAGAGGGTAAAGAACACCAGGGAGGGAAAGGAGGCCCGCAAACGGAAATCAATCAGCTGGGGCCCAATGTCGCTCACCGCGTACATGGCCAGGCGCGCGAGCGCCAGGACACGTTGTGGGTAACATGTAGACAACGTGGCGCTGGGCGAGTAGAATATACTGATGGCGGCCGCCGCCGAGAGGGTTGCAGGGTGGGCGCGCGGGTGGATGGATGGCGCGGGTGCTTTTTGTTTTTGTGATGGGTGGCGATCCGCATAAAGCGCTGCGAAACCAGCGCGCGGCGGGGTGCGCCATTATGCGTTCCATTTCACACAAAAGGGTTAACGAGGAACTCAGGGCGCCGCGGCAAGGACAGGAGGAGGCGGCTAAAGGAGAAGGAGGAGGCGGCCAAGGCGGCGGACGCGACCAGGGCACGATCACGCTGCCTTTTCCCCCCCCCTCACCGTGCCTGGGGCGCGGGCCACGCGTGCTCGACCGCTGTGCAAAACACTAGGCCCACGTGTGGGCCTTGCGCGGGTGTCTTGAGTGCGTGTCTGGGTAGGTGAGTGCATGTTTTGCTTAGCTCTAGACGCGCTGCTGCATTCGCCCATCAACAATATGTGATGGACGTCGCGCCCCCATCCGCTCCCCGCGCCCGAGTGGCCACTCCGCCGCTGAATTAAACACCTGCGTTTGTGCGTGCGTGTCGGGTTGGATACGCGGTTGCATCGGTGCGCGCGGTCGTGTACAAACGGTTGCGGTGTCGCGTGTGGGGGTTCAAGTGTGCGTGTGCGTGCGCGTGGGGGTTCATGGGTGCGTTCGTGCGCTGGTTAGGGAACGCATCTTCTTCCACGCGCCATATACACACGCAAAATAGTGCGTGCGTGCCCACCAGTTTTGACGCTCAAGCGTTCACATTGCGTGTCAGGTTTAAGTTTAAAGGTTGGTGCGGTAACGCGAACCCGACCCATTGTCACATTCCGACGCATATGGCATACCGCCCGCGCCACATGGGCACATCCACATGGGTGGCGCCCGCGCACAACACCTTGCACACACGGCCATCCGCCATATATCCTGGCGCACTCACTCCTTGCTGCATGTTGAAGAGCGGGGTGGGGCCCAACACCCAGCACGGGAGGTCGTGCCAAGCGCGGTTGGCGGAGAGAGTGGTTGTTCGAGGGAGAAGAGAAGCAAGGCTGATGTCGGAGACGTGGTAGTTGAAGGCACAACAAGGCAAGGGAATACTGATAGTTACTGGGCCGAAGACGCGAAGAGACAGAGGCCTATGCCGATTAACGCAGTGAGAACATCGGAGAACAAAACACATGAGAGAGCCAAAAGCGGTGAGGACGGACGAAATCAAAGAAGACGAAAGAAGAATGGAAATGCGAAAAAGGCATGCGAACTGGACCCAGGGAAACAAATCTCCTTTTACAATTCCAACACACGGCTTTTTCGGAAAATCAGCGAACTTTGAAACAGCTTTTTTTGAGCCTGCAAAAACAAGCCTCAGAAACCCTTGAAAACGCTCTGAAACAGCCTTTTTTAAATTTCCGATTCTTCAAGAGTCTAGCGAACACGACCATCATAAGCCTACAGCCTCATTCCCGCTGTCTGGCGCCCCCGTAGCAACGCGGCCTGGCTGGGTTCAGCCCGCGGCCGTGCCCCTGGAAGCCCTCCTGTCTCGCCGGTGCGCTCGCGCTCTACCTCGCCTGCACGCTCTGACTTCTCTGACGTGCCGGAGGGTGCCTGTCCTTCTGCTCGCTCTGCAGCATCTTCAACGTCTTCTTTAGCTTCTCTGGTTCAAGCCCCGCAAGTTCATCGGCCTCGCTGGGCGGCAATGGGTCGGCGACCTCCGCGGGCGGCCCAGGGGCATCTGAAGATCGTCGGGCCAGCTCTTCAGGGACGCTGCCGCTTCGCGGCTGTCCTCCCGGCGATTCCCCGGCCGTTGCGCTGCTGAGCGCCCGCTGTTTCGGCCTGATCCCTCAGATAGGCGCCGCCAGACCCAGGGAGTGGCAGCGCGCCAGCGCCAGGCCTCCGCTGCGCCGCAGCTGAGGATGGTCGCGCGGGGCGTCCTGGCCCAGAAGCTGGACTTGAGCAGTTGCGCACCCTGCCCCGCGCGCGCGCCTGCTCGTCCGCCGCGCAACTGCCCGAGCTCATTGGCGCGAGGACGAGCGCGCTCTCAGCGCGCTGTGTGCTGGCGACCTTCTTCGGTCACCGTAGCCGGCGTGGCCAGGGGCCGCTAGACCTCTCCGACGCATGTTTCCGCCGCTCAGCAGCGCGGCGCGCAGGCGTGCGGCGCCTCCTGCAAAGGCAGGGCCGTGCGAGCGGCTTGGAGAGGCCAGCTCTGGTGGCCCTTCCAGAGCGCGCAGATCCTGGTCGGGGTCGGAATTATCCAGCCCGGCGCCGCCCTGCCGGGCCCCCTCCCGCGGGCGGCGCTGCCGACGAGCCCGCGGCGCATGGAGTGATCAGCGACCCCGCTGGGTTGGCTGCTGCCCCGCGTGCTCACTGGGGGCCAATCTTCGCGGCCAAAGAGGTCGCTTCCGGCGAGGCCCACAACTGCCTGCAGCGCCACTTCACAAGGCTACCCGATTCCCAGCTCCCGCCGCCGCAGGTCGAGGACGCGGAAAGGGCAGCCCGCCGCGCCCGCCCGACAGCCCCTGGCCCCGTGGGCATCCCCTACGCGGCGTGGGCCGGGGCCCCAGGCGCTGCCCAGCGACGTCTCGCGGCCTTGCTTGCCCTCGATCGTGGGCGGAGAGACGGCCTCGATGCATCGTAGTTCCAATTCGCACCGAAAGCAGACGATGCCCCCTCGGCTGCGCCAGCGGCGCGGGGGCCCGCCAGGGCCCGCCCGCTGGCCCTCGAGAACTCGGACGCTATGCTGACGGCTGCATCGGCCAACTGGTGCCTATCGGCGGTCGCGGAGCGGCTCGTCCCGAGCGCGCAGCGCGGCTTCGCGCGCGGGCGAAACTTCCCGGACAACGTCTGGCTTCGCGCCCAGGCAAGGATGGCAGCGCTCGGCTGCCCCGAGGAGCTCGCCGGACGCCGTCCACGCCTCGTCTCCTTCGACGTGGCTGCGGCATTTCCGAGCTTAGCCTGGGGGGGGGGGGCTTTTCGTGGCGCCCTGCCAGTTCGGGATCCCGGACTCCGA